ATACACCATTCTAACACTTCATTATAGTAGGGTTTTTTGTCCCCAAAATAACTCTTTATAACTCAAAATAACTCTTAAATAACTAAAAAGTCTCTAAGCACAACTGTTTTCTTTCCCTTTCGTAATTTATGACATTTTCCCCAACTTGATCGCGCCTAAAACGACACCGCTGGCTTAGCAGTGACTTAGCGAAACGTTAAATTAATGCACGTTGAAGCAAAAATCAAACTTCTCCAAGGATTTAAAAGCTATATTAAAAATCGTGATACACTTGAAAGCTCATATGGCACACTTGAAAGGTCATATGGCAAACTTTGTGTAGCAAGATGGACCGGGCTGCGCCCTAACACTTGAAAGCTTGAATTAAAGATACCTTTTAGAATAAATTATTAAACATAATGTTATAAAAAGAGACATCCACATGGTCTCTAATGGCTGCATAGTGAACGATTTTATTTTTCTTGAAGTAACAACATAATATAATTCGAAAACCATTAGCAACAAAGCAGAAAGGAAATTTTAAGGTTTTAATGAATGCATTAAATGATTGATCGTCTAGCAGGCGGGGACAATGAGACAGACGGAGTGAGAAAGAAAGCATAAGTTAAAAAAGTTTTTATGAAAATGTATTTGCCTAATATATGGACTTTTAATGCAAGATTTTTGTTATGTCATTGTACAGAACTCAAATATAAAATTAGGCGAAATTCTACTTTAGTTTGATGCTTGTTTTATAGGAAAACTATCGAGTTCGAAGGAGCTAAGTGCAGTGCCTCTTGAAATCGATTTAATTTTTCTATAAACCTATAAAAACATATCATTTTCTAGAAAGTTTGAAACATATCTCCATACTCTTTATGTAACTTTTCAGTCTATCCATGTTCTTAAACTATAGGAAGTTTTGGGTGCAAGTGAAGCATTCATCAAAGGTATCAAAACTACACAAAAAATTTGCAAACAGATAGTCTATCTATTACTCCGATTCAGAAATGAAGCAATGAATTCAGAAATCTTCTTTAAATTTTCCTTTAAAATTTTCAGAACTGCATCCACAAAAGTTTTATAAAATGCGACACCATTACCTGTGAATTCATGCACAGAGCTGTAAATATACCTCGCAAAATAGCTCGACAGGCCACTGTGTTACCAGGACCGTCTCTCCAGAGGCCAAATCGTAGCGGAAGAGGTTAGAAAGAACGGTGGAAAAAGAAAAGGAGCACGAAACTAAAAAGGAGATCCCATTGTGACATGATGAACGATCTCATGATGATGTAAGACTGTCCTTGGTGGAGGCTGTTCTTTGAAAAGAATGTGTTCCATGGGGACCCCAATACAGGGATAACGCCCCTTTTCATCCACAATAGGTACTTGGGCTAATGGCTAATAGAAAAGGGTTGCTAATACATACTGTATCTGGTGCGACTGTTACTTCTTCCGCTCTTTTGGCCTCAATAGGAAGAGTTTTCCACTTAAAAACATCGTCAGGCACCTGGGGCACTTAAGAGAGTATGCAAGAAATAATGAGTAACATTTTAAGAGTAAACGAAGATGAGAACCTTAAAATAATCAAATTCAGAGGCATTTGAATAAAGTTTGGTAACTTTACTCTCGTAGGCTGTATTTTAATTTTATACTGAAAAAAATAAACATTTTTCCCCATAAAATATTTTTACTGTATTTAGAAATAGCATCAATGTAAACAGCCTACAAATATTTTGCAATGCGCGTGAAAATACAGCATAAATAATTTCAGTTTCTAGCAACAGTATGAATCTAAATTCAATTTGAGCTGATTTTTTTAAATTGATTTATTTCGAAAGCCCTCAGCTTTTTTCATTGACTCTTTCTTTCGATCAGACACAGTTTTCAACGAACCCTATCACTTAATGTAGATGATGTAATATGTCAAATATTGCATTTTATAACGTGAATGTATAAAAAGTTTCATAAATTTTATTTAAAATAGGACGGGGGGAATGTGGAAACGTAACATTTCTTCCAACAGAGAGAGAGGTCAGGTAATGATGTTAGAGGAAGAAGAAAATACTGGCGCTAAAGTTAATAAAAATAATAAATATTATCCAATCATTCTCAAGAAAAGATAAACTGTGCTCTCACATGCAAAGATGTAAATTATATTTTAAAACTGCTTGTATAATGCTGCTTTCTCGTGGTACTTACTTTAATTATCTAATCACTTCTGAGACCTTGAAATTCCCCCATCCTCCAATATATTATTATTATTTATTTATTTTGCAATTAAGATACACTGTCTTAAAATGCATAAAATTACGATGTAATTTTAAAAAATAAATGAAGAAAAAAAAATTCTGCTAATTCTTTATTTTAAGTCACTTTCTCCAGAATAGCTTAAAAATATTGCGGTTAAGCTCATTAGATTTAACTTGGAACTCCAGGAAAACTTTGGCTTAAGACAAAGTGAATGATGTATTATGTAACACAAAACGTATCACAAATCAATATATAAAAATAAAACTTTAATCCAAGGAAAGGAAAGTTAAAAATAAAAAAAAAATTAACTTTCCTTTCCTTGAATGCGAAAATATGCAGTTTCCATTTAGCATTTATTAAATGCAATTTGTTTACTTTTATATGCATGAAAAAAAAAAAGATTCGATTTTTGTTACTCAATATCGGTCTTATTTTGCAATTTTACTTGCTGATGATCTTTCTGGAGTAAAAATAAAAAGGTCAAATATTTTTCCGCTAAATCAAGGGTAAATTTCTAACGAAGCGAAAAACATGAGCTTAACTCCAAAAAGAAAATAACACTTGAATACAGTGGCAAGTAGCTGTTACTGCAGAGTCCAGAAAAGGTAGGGGTAAAAGGCGAGCGGAGCATGGTGTAAATCGGTGTCAGGATATATCCCGCGGAGAGCTTATTGTACACAGCCTCTTTCCAAGGCCGGTTATGCGTCTTGGGGGGAATGGAAGAGGACCTTGGACAACTGTCAGAACTGGTCACCATTGCCTGCAGAGTTTCTGGACATTCCATGCCAGCATGAGGCTCGCTTGGATGAGGAACAAAAGTCCGAGTTTGTGGTATCCCTTTTTATTAGGAATACGCTAGCTGTTTGCACACCTGTCACTTTTGTTCGAACTCAAGAAGGGGAATGAGGAGTTGATTTCCCTTGAAAAGAAAAATGTCTCTTTGGCGGAATCTGTTGTGTAGAACAGTGGTCATGTGAGAAAGCGATTTTTCAACTCGCATTCTTTTCATCAGCATACGCTGTTCGAAATTACCTTCGGAATAATCTGCAGCAATAATAACTTAACGTTGGATTTAAAAAAGAGGTCAACTATTATGCATTAACGGCAGCTGTAATAATGATTTATTAATTTTCAAACATCATTGAAATTTCACAAAAGGGTACATCTGTTCACAATTTCATTTAATTCTTAAGTGAATTATTATTCTTACAGGAATTACTGCAAACTTTATTTAATGTCAGTGTTCTCTAGACGACTAAGTAACTGTTTCTAGATAAACTACTTAGGCCTACTAGATGTACGCCTAAGACCTTAAAATTCTGCTATTTTTCCCTTTATAAAAGCGAAGAAAGATGGCGCTAAGGGTCCCAGATTAGCTTAATCGGAACTTTGCTGGATTCTTTCAATATTTTAAGTATATATAAAATTCTGAGGTGAAACATTTTGTACTACTTTAATGCACGACTTATATGGTGTGAAAAACAATTTTAGAAAAAATAATTTAGCATAATGAAAGAGTTTTAATATTTAACAACAAATGTTATATAAATAATGTTTATTAAGTTTTTAGACTTTTAAACAATAGAATTCTTAATAAAAATTCAGCATATTTCGATTTTTAAAATGTTTAAAATTTTTATATAAAATAACACTAAATAATTGAATTATTATCACTGAATAACAATTACTGTGTTATTCAATATTACTTTCGAAATATAATGTAAAATAACAATGTTTTATGCATAGTCCCTCTCCTTTTAGACTTCGTATGAGGCAATATGCCGCCTTTGAGATACATAGAGTTTTTAAGTATATTTAACAAAAGAAGAAACAGAAAGTATTAATCTGAATCTGCTAATCTTATTTGAGATGATTTTGACACATACAACAAGTTCTTTGAATGGATAACTTTCTTCTTATATTGAACAGTTTGTTGTTGTAACAGATACCATATCAGAAGTTTTTAAAGCGGAAATGTAGGAAATGACAAAATTAATTATTTTATTCGAACCCTATCACTAAAGACTCCTATATTTCAGTTCAGATCAGGGCCGGATCTAGGCATTTTACCGCCCGAAACAGTCTATTGGTCTTATTCTGCTGCCCCGTGCTCCCTCTAAATTCTAAAAATTTTGCTACCTGGTGCAACTGTACCGGTAGCCCGCTCTGGCCCTGAATAGGATTATTTTTATTGTAGAAAATTATAGTACTATGTAGAACATTCGAACTTTCAATTCAGAAAGGGATGTATGTTGTGTATTCATACATATACAAAATTTTTAACATATCGAAAGCAATGAAAAGCTCAGTGATCAGTCCATTTCCATGATATTCATCGTGGCGAGGAGTCAAGATTGCGTCTGTCGTTCGTTGGCAAGAGCTTTGAGCATCATATAGATGACAGTACGACTTTGCTCAAAACCGCGCCTAAGTTTGAAAAGCACACCCCTCTTCCCTTACCACCAACCTCTCGAAAGGAGTTTCGGCTTGCCGCATATTTAGAGTGCCGCCATGCCGCACAGGCAACATACGTTTACAAACATACATGCCTTTTCCGGAATTCGAGCCCGGGCACTTCGGTACAGAAATCAGCATCGCTAACCGCTATCCCGGCCGAGCGGCTATATTTTATAAGAGTTATCCTTAAAGAAGGCAGCCACACAATACATTCATCTAGCTGATATTTAACGTTTAACTATTATTTAATAATTTTAGCAGTATAGAAGAAGGACGGAATAGCAAGAAATTCTAAAATATTGCATACTTACCAGTATGAATTCTTTGATGAGCTTTCAAATGGGAACTTTTTGTGTAAACTTTAGTGCAACCTGTGGAAACAAAGAGGAGAACTATTTGAAAACTATTTTTGTTTCATTCGCATCTGCGAATATATATATATATGTATAATTTACATTAATATAAAAATCTTTTGATTCAAATTTTATTATAGAAATAAAACAGTTTTGACATCAAGCAACTGCACCAGAGACAAAAATTTAGTCTCATATGTAAATTAATGGTTTCCTTAAGCACTGATATTATTACTTTTGCAACAATAAACAAAATTAATGTAATTTATTATGGTGAGGTGAAATTTCGAAACAGTTAACAGTTGCATGCTTTAAGCATTACGGCGGGATCTCCGCTGAATATAAATCAAAGCCGATTGCCATTTTAAAAGTCCTGAAAACTATAGTGATGTAAAAACGCGACATAATTTCAAATAATTCAGAATATTAATGGGATACACTTACACAAATGCATACACACATATTTTCAACAATTGCATTAGCGAGGCAAAAAGTATAATGTTTTTTTAATTTATTAAATATCAATTTATATTTCACTACATCATTTTATAAAAGTACCTATCTTTTTGATTTCTCAAAATCAAAAATAATAATAATAATAATTGTTAAGTCTACCTTGCTTTTAAGTCCAGGTTGAATTCTGGGAATTACTACAGTTAGATATTTCTTACCTATCAAATGAAAATTCAATATAATCAGCAAGACACTTTGAGGTAGGCAAGGGAACCTTAAGTTTGCATATTAATATGTGTTCGATATGTGAAACTGCTATCAGAAAGACAATGATTAGTAGAATGCAAATAATTTGGGGAAAGTGTTCAGAGATTCAGTAAATTATCCCTAAAATCTTTACCAGTAAGGTCCATTTTCTGATTCTAGAATTTTACATGTGTTTTTGCTGAACGAAAATAAATTGCATTTCCCATTACATAAAGCATCTAAGTTATCGATGTTTTATATTCAGTCATACAATTAAATATATTTTTTACAGTGGGTCTATGGATGAAAGCTAAACAAATTTTATCCCAGTTTTGTCAATACTGCTTGTTTGTGTTTTCTTTTTTTAGTCTGAATATTTTAACCCTAAAGTTTACAATACCAATGTTTTCTGTTTCTGTATAAAATGACTTCACTGAATTTGGCGAAAACAAAAGTTCTTCAGGAATAGAAAGTATAAAAATAAGAATTTTCCCTCTCCAAATAATCAACACATTTTATACCTGCTTCTTTCAAAATACGAATTTACGCTTCTTTCCTGATGAATTAATTCCAAAATTTTGCAATCTTTGCATCAATAAATATTATTCATAGTCATCAATCTTTCAGCTTACTATCTGTGAAGATTACATAACTATATAAATTCGAAATATTAAAACAATATAACGATTTCCCAAATAAACTTCTAAACGCTTTTTTTTTTTATTTTTATTTCTTTTAAATGACATATGATTATATAAAAAGAATCTGATTGTTTTAATTACTGTTTTTAAAGTTATTGAACCACATCTCATGACTTAAGTAGCAAAACGTGTGATGAAAATGAATAACTTTGTATTTTTTAAAAAAAATATGAATATTTAAATGAGTACTTAAAAAGCGCAATTAATAAATCTTATAAATAGCCTTACATTTCCATTACCAGATTTATCTCTCAGGATATTGTCAACATAATTGATTGGCCACTGAGAACTTATAGAACGGTAATACTTCATTTGAGATCTACTGCAAAATGATTTAAAATTATTGGAATCTGATATTTCATTTTTGGCAGATTAGCAGCTGTCAGGTAATTTCCTACTTGACACTCAGTTTTTAATTTGCATAATCTACTAACAAATGCAGAGCTTAAAATTCCAAAAGCCACCTGAAGAACCTTACTTCGCTACCACCTTTCGCTTACCACTTTTACTTTGCTAGTTTTGCAAAAAATATATTGAGTTCGCTTGTTTTCGCAATAAAATATGAAAAGATTCTAAAGATCGAAAATAAAAATGAAAAACAACTGACTAAAAAAGGGAGAGGTGACTTATTTTCATCCTTACTTTGATCAAATGTTATTTTTCTTAAGCGGGATTCTGGTTAAGGAATTAAAGAAGTTACGTTAATCAGTGTTTTACGATAATTATAAGCAATGAACGTTACACAATACTTTGAGCTGATTAATCCTTACCTGGAAATACGCATCGGTGAGTTCTCCTTTTTTCCAGTTCTGGATTATTTCTCCTGTTGTAAGGAGTCCTCACTGGCTGATGCTCTTCGCTTAATTCAGGTAAAGAAGGCAACAAATTGCTTGGCGGAGATGTTCCATATGGAGGTGGAGGCGTTGTCCTAACAGTGATAGAATCCACAGAATCACTACCAGGCTCTGAACTAGGTGGGGTGAGTGGCATGATGAGTCGCGACATGGCGAAATGTCCCATGTAAGTATTTTGCATAGGTTGGACAGAAGATAAAGGCATATTTGATTGGTAATGAGAAAGCTTATTTTCAATATTAGCCTCCCGTTTCACTATCACTTGATCTGGCAAACTAACGTCCAGTAAGGAAGTAAACTCTTGTGTAGATGGAAAAGAGCATGAGTCCAAAACTGTCCTTTCATTCTTAACCGTGCAAGGTACAGGACTCTGATAAGGAGGAGTGATGCTATCGAAAAGACCAGGTAAATCAGGCGATTCACTCATATCCGAGAAACTTATAATGGAACCTGGCACAGTCAATGCGGATTTGGTGAAGATGTCCTCCTGGTGGTTGATTAAGTTCGAAGGCACATTTTCGCGCATTGTTTTGGCCCTGCAAGAGTTATTGTAGGCCGTAGACGGTTGATGGGCGAGTCCAACTGCAGCAGTTGCGTTTTGATTTACAGCGTTAAGGTGATCCGTTTTCATGGTATCAAAGGATTGTGAAGTTGGGTTTATTAAACTGGTACTGCCTTCGAAGAATTCGTCCACCTGGGATGCACTTTCTCTGCGGGGTTTTTGAGAAGTAAAAAAACCCCAGCCATTGTTTCTAGCGTACTTATCCAGGGCGCAAAGCGTGTCACCCTGGAAAGAAATAAGAAAAAACCATAATTAGTAAAAACAAAAACAAACAAAAAAACAAAAAAAAAATCTGAAATATAACATCGTTTAAAATGAAGACTGTAGATAAACAGAGTTTAAAATTAAAGAGAACACAGAGTGGTTAAAAGTTTAAGGAGCTTCTAGCAACTCGATTTTCGGGTGGTAGTCATGACGAACTAATGAAGTCGATTTCAAAAAGATTAGTAACGCTGATTTTCAATAAACATCTCCCCCCCCTTTAAATTCGTTTTACTCTCTGTCTTTTAATATTTAGTTAAATTTTTAATTATAGTTTCGCTTCAATTGGGAAAATGCATTAGATATTAACATTTATTACATTATCTGTAATTTAGTGCCCTGCATTAAAATATTACATAGAAGTGGATTATCCGGTCCATACCTCAAAGGAGAGGTATCACCGGAATTAAGATATTACAGCTGTTTTTTTTCCTCTAAAATTAAAGCTCTTAATTTCCTAAGAATATCAAAATAAAACAAATTTAATGTGTTTTCGTTTTCCCCTAGAATGTTTACAAAGGTAATGAAATTATATACTCGGAACTTCTTTACTTTGATGCATACATATATCTCTTCACTTTTTTTTTTTTTTTTTAATTTTTCATGCTATAAGTTCAGTTTCAGAAGTCTTTTTCTAAGAAAGTTCTTGATGTTTTAGAAATCTCTTGCGTGATGGACACTATACTTAAGTGACAGATAATGCTTCAAAAAAAGTGTCCAATCTCTTTCAGAAATTTTTTCCGGAAAAGTAAGGAAGTCTTTGTTTCCGGTGATATCTTTTTGCGGAAGGAGGAGAAATTCCTATTAAAGCGGAAGAGTACTATCTTCTTAAGATTAAATACACGAGCTTTCATTTTGAAATCTAAATACTTTCTTAATAATTCGGTTGAACCCGGATCATTTATTTACTTCTAAACCAAGGTCACATGAATTTTCAATAATTTGGTAATCAAGTCAAAGTACTGGAAATTAACATTAATGCATGACTGCAAGTCATTTTACTTCTTGGAATAGAATATACTTAATGGTCCAAAACATTACAATTTTAATTCCTTCGAAGATAAGTTTATACATTTTCTAAATGTTTATAAAGAAATTATAATATTGGCATCATAAAAATTCAGTTGTAGAGACATTAGGTATTTTTGGAATCAGGAATGAAAAATGAGCAATCGTCTTCGGGAGAATCGAACCACGGACCTCTGGATACCAGCCCAGCGTGCATACACCACGAAGGCACGCCAAGAAGGTGGGAGAAATACCTTATAAAATGTTAATTTGTAAATAATTTAATATGTTATTTTAACATATCGATATAAGTTTCCAACTTCTATATAAAAGAAAATGTGCGAAATTATAAAATATGTAGGTTCTGTTCTTTCTTTATTCTTTCTGAAATATTTCTTTATTCTTTCTGAATCATGAAAGTTTTTTTTAATAGAAACTCAAAATGAAGTGTTCAGACAGGTACCTACATAATAGTTAATAATCGACTTCTCATTATTGCCTAAAGCAAAAATGTGTCTAAAAAATTATAACAATTTTATAGAAATAAACACTACCGCAGGTTGAATTCGCTTCTTTGTACAGGTGGCAGAGAGTTGAGCTGAAAATCTTAAAATAATAGAGATGAATAATACAAATGACAATAAATTAAGGTATCTAAAAATACGATTATGTGTAAGTAAAGGGAAATTATTTTAAAGGAGAGAAAACAAAACGTGAAATATTCGCCAAATGGTGCTGAGCAAAATATCATTATATGGCTTCATATAAATTTTCCGGCCAATTATTGGAATGAAAATATCGCTTGCTTTTCTAATTCATGCAAGCAATTAGAAACAAAGAATTCATTATTCATTTGTCATGAATGTATAGGAATATTGAATGAGAGTAAGTTTCGAATGTTCTAAGATTTCTGTTAATTTCTAAATACCCCTTGAATATATTAAATATATATGAATATATTAAATATAAATTAATATTGAATATATTAAATATAAATATTAAATTCTAAATAACTATAAAATACAATAGTGTCAGTGTCCTTATCTGCTGATGATATGTTCCAAGACTTAATACGGGTACATGAAAATGCATGTGATAGCGAACATTATACTGGACTCGATATTCACGTTACATATAGTTACGGCCGAGTTTAGCTTATAAAGTAAGCATTACAAACATTAAATTAAGTAAAAACAAAATATAATGAGTGTTATATTCTATACTATAAATTAAAATAATCCAAAATACCCTCAGTAAAATGAGATTATTTTTTTAATTTTATTATCTTGTATATTTTCCCCCTTTTTGCATTTCTATTTATCGAATTTGTACTACTATGAATTCTTATTTTAATTTTGATTTGCTTAGATATTGTATTAAACCTCTTATACACGGTTACGATTATTGATATTGTTGAGGAATTGCCTTGCTTTTGACAATTTACTTTTAACTTTAAATGCTTTAAGTTATTGCACTTCTATCCTGCAGCTATAACGCAGGACAGGTATAAAATTTTTGTTTTTAATTTTCAGCCCCATATTTGGTCTCTTTATGTATTTTTATATATATGCAATAAATAATAAAGAATATGTGTATGTATGTTCGTTCATAGCACTGTGAAAAATCGGCGGTACATGGAGCCGCCAAATCTTGAATATACATTATCTTCCATCCAGTGCATCTGAAGCCGGAATTTTGAATTTTTTTTTTTTTTTTTTTTTTAATCTGTCCCACATTTTGTGCGAATTTAATTGAATTTTAATTAGCAAACTGGATGGTTTAAAAGCAAATAAGTAATCAGAAAATGCATCCATTTAAAAATTTAATGGCGGTTTCCCCGTCCCTTAAACACCTCAAAGAGATGTTTATCGTTTTCAGTAAGCGGACTCATTGTCCTGCAATATAAAAAGACATTGCTATTTGAAGGAAATATTCACTGCAAGCGATTAAGTGAAATAAATGCATAATCCAGGATGACTCTTATATTAAACTTATAAAAATTTTTGTTTTCCATAATTAAGATTTCTATATTCATATACAAAGTTGATTAGATTTTGGATATTAAAACTTATTATATCAATTAATCAATTATTATCTTTGATTTGAAAACATACAATCGATCGTAGTATTTCTTCTGGTAACCTAGTGTTTCGGATTCATAAATCAATGACTTGACAATAATAAATTTTTTTAAATTAGCATATCTTCAGAATTCTCAGTAGAGTGCCATATATTCCTTTTATATTCACTGTATTTTTTATGTTTGTTATATTAGTATTTATTTAAAAGTAATGCCTAGCAGAAACATTTCGTGGGAGCATCGTTTTATTTTATTATTATTTATAAGTGATCCGACACAATATTGAGGATTGAAACTGATTTAACTGTTACATAACAAGGGTGTCAGGGGTGGTCAAACTTCGTACTCGTTAGAGCGGTATGTTAGAATTTAGGAAAGTTCGAAAACCCCAATTAGATTTTTTTGAAACCCGCAAATCTATATTTACATCATTTTAAAAGTAATGAAACGTCTAATAACTTTGTAAAAAGAAATGAAATAAATTAATTTCTTTCTTTTGACCATTGAGAAATTTTAGTTTACTATTTTTGACACATACATTTTATTTGCACTGGAGCCGCACCACTTGCCTGAGAGAGCCGCGATAAGGCCACCCCTGCTTTATAAATAGGTTGGCAGGAGATAAAAAGATTAATCCAGATAATTGAACACTGATACAAACTGAGAAAAGACTGAAAAAGAAATGTATAACAACACTTAACACTTAACACACAAATTGGGAATTCTAAAGATATGCTGCTTTTAAAATTTTTTAAATTGCTAAATGATTGATTTGTGAATAAGAAACAGAGACTACGATCCACTCGATATTTTCAAATCAAAGCATGAGAACGGATTTGTATATTAGTACTTATAGTTATCATTGTCCATTGCTTAGAAAAATAGGATAATAAAAAATGAGTGGTGTTTACAATTAAAACTGAGCTATAAAGTTTATAAACAAATTAGATTTTATTTGAAAGCGATCAATGGGAAGTGATAGTTTACTTACAGCTCGTCACTATTCTGAGTTTCATGTCTTAATATCGAATTGGCGTGAGGTCATGTGCTGGTCACATCAGCTCCCCCCCTTCTATTTCATTCTTTTGTTCATTATAATGTCATATTGTTTTTAATTTATAATTTTTTAAACAAATTGAAGCTTTTAATGTTCTTGGTAAGGAAACATTTCCATAGTGCAATAAAAATATGCTTAGTAATTTTGTAAGTATTAAGTAGAATTTTTATAATACGTATTTCTACAAGTATTACAAAGATTCCCGTAGAACAGTAATTCTCAACGCCTGTGCCGCGGCACTTTAGCGTGCTACGAGATTCTTGAGGTGTGCCGCCAAATTTTACATATGCAGGAAATAAAAATAATTGTGTATATTTTTTATATATAGTGTGACTGATTTCCATTTAATACAAAAATTTTTTTCTTACACAGTGTGTGTATGATTTTCCTGCACACGTTAACGCTATGAGACGCCGCTGCGAATACCCATATATAGGCGACGTAAGGCAAGTAATTAAATCAGTTATAACTTCCTAGCGAGTATTAGATCTGGACTGACCTTAAATACGATTATCCGACATCACAAAAAATTTTAGTATGTTATTACTGTAGTTTATTACATCTTATGTGCTAATCTGGATCACGAAATGAGAGTAGCATTATCATTTTTACGCCCAAACATAAATGAAGTTATAAAAAAATATTTATCTTAAATTTCTCATTTAATGTAATTTTTAATTTATTATTAGACAAACATTTTGTTTACTTTGTAAGGCAATTTTATTTTATATTTTACTGAAAATTATTGTCGTATGCAATTTTGACAAACTATATTACAGGTACATCAAACAATTAACCGAGTAAAATTCTTCTGAATTT